GCTTTTACTTCCGCTCATAGTCGAAAGAATAAAGCACACCAAGTTTTGGAGAAATTACAAATGGGCGCATCTCCCATTTCAAGTAATTGGAGTAGGAGGCTTCTTATTATTCATGGTCCCCATAGCGTGCTCTCTCTTTCCACAAAAGTGCAAATATAAATTCTCAAAGCTGGAACCTGAAGTCCAAGAATCTATTCGAGCTAAGTTAGGAAAAGAATTGGACTATGTTTACTTTAATAAAGGCTTATAATTGCCGCCGAATATTGTTTTTATATCTAATTCAATGAAAAGAGTCGTTTGATTATTTTGCCGGGCAAGTATGCTGATAAAAAAGGGTTAGACTATGCATACTTCAAATGTTTATGGTAGTTCATCCCATATTTATTCTAAATTTATGGGTTTATATGTCCAAAAATCACTTTTAGATATTTCTAATTCAATAAAAAAGAGGTGTTATTTTATAATTTTGCCTTAGAGAGAGGCTTTGTTTATGTCTACTAATTGATGGATGTTTACTGTGTGGCATTCCATATCATAACATTCAGGTTTTCATCAAAACAATCAATTTTGATAATGTTTAAGAGTTTTTAGGAGCCAAATTCGATTTTGTATTTTCACTTCCTAACGTATTAATTTTTAATGCAATGAAAAAAGTTGTTTTTCTGATCCCATTGACATCAACTGCTTCAAGTCTCGCCTGAATCGGTATACACTGGCAATCTCGCTCTATAATGGATGTTTCTCCGACCTTTGACCCCAAAAAAATTCTTCCTGTACTCGACTATAGCAAAATATTTTATATTTATTCCTGTGAGTGTTTTGGAGAGTGGAACTTTACAAAATGGTTTGTTTTTCAGAACCATCATTTTTAATAAAATATACAACCACACGCCGCTTAATAAAGGTAACAATAGCTAATTTTAGCCTAGTCTATCGCAGCTTTTGTGAGACTAATTTTTTATTATTGCGACCATGGTTCATCTTAAAATATAAAAGCGACTTTATTATAGTAATTGGTCCTCTCAACAAATGAATTACTGAAGACATAAAATAAAACACTCAGGTAGATTACTGAGCGTTCACACAGAATAACAAACACGTTTTATGAATAACTCACTACAGAAAATAGTCATATGTTAGAATTTCGTTGAAAAAATATGACTCCAATGAAAAAAAAATTGGGGAATTCACCTCGACCATTGGCGGAAAGATAAAAACAAGATGGCGGCGATTCAAAATTTAGCTCTGAACCGATTCGAATAATTTACTATTCGATTCGAAATGCCCAGCCCTACCTGTAACTAACTTATTCCCCAAATATATTGCTTCAATCATGTGTGCATGTGCCAACCGTCTGTATTCGAATCTGCATGGAGTAATTCATCCATAACTTTTATGCTTTGCTTTTAGATACCTTTGTGCAATTAGTCTATTTGGTTTTTTATGCTGAAACTATTTTTATAATTACTGATGTGCAATTTTGCAAATTTTACGCGGCAGAAAAGTCTTCATACCCTGAAAAGTCGAATTTAAGGGAATGGAAATTTAGGATTTTGCAACCCCCGCGCCCCCCCTTTTTTAAAAAAAAAATTCTGACTGCGCGCCTGTTTTTAAATACCTTTGTACAATTAGTCTGTATTACTTTACAGAGAATGAGCTATTTACTTATCGATCTTAAGATCGGTAAGTATGTTGATAGGTATTTGTCTGTCTGTATGTTAGATGCACGCGATATCTCACGGAAGCAAGGTTGAATCTGCTCCAAATTTTGCATGTGCATTCATCATAGCTCGGATCAGAAGCCTATTGATTTTGGATGAATTATGTCTCATAATTAGCGAGTTATTAATTAATTGTGGTGGGACACTCGATGTCACTATGGAGTAAGACCACTGTTTTGGGGGATCCCCTAACCTTCGATCGATAAGTCTTCGGTTTCTAACCGATATTCTATTTTTAAAATTACTGATTACTGTATATTTCATGGCTGTGCGATTTTGCAGAAACAAGATTGTGGCGATTTCACTGGACAGGTGAAATTTCAATAAACTCAACGGCGCCATATTGTATATCTGCCGTACTTCAATTTTATCGAACTGAATTATTATAAGTTTTAGGATTTAATTTTTAATTACTTTGTTTAATTTGGTGCTCATCCCATTTAATAGAAAGTACTCACTTTGAAACTCACGTCATATCAAAATACCGCTGTCATTTTTTTTATTGGATTGAAGTTTTAATAATTGTGAATGCTTTTGCTGTTTTGCTGCCATATTTGAAAGATGTGCCATATATTTTATTTTTAATGCCTGCCATTTTAAGTACTTAGTACTATCTATTAGGGATGCTCTAAACCAGAGGAGCACAACACCAAAGCGACTACCGTATCACTCGACTATATTATATTCACTTTGCACTTTGATCGCAAAAACGTATTCAAATCACAAATCATTCACAACATTAAATTGTTTTAATAAATAGATATTCGTTATCATGTTTATTATTTAAATTTGTTTAATGTGTGTTTTACAGGAGTTCGTTTACAATACCAACGATTTCTTGTGGGCCACAGTTTGCACACACCCTGATTGGATTGTCAGACAAATGATAAACAATGAGGTAGTGATTACCAACCTTTTTGTGCTTGTGACCTTCCGTTTCTCATTCCAATGGTATTCATAGTGTTATTTTGATCAAATCCTATTATGTTCAAACAATTCTTGCTCAACAAAGTGAAAACACTCTGTGAAATAAATAACCTTATCAAGAATAGAATTTTTTCTTGTCAAAGGGAAAAATAAAATCAGTTTTGTGGCCGCATTGTGGCTCTCCTTCAACTGCCCTTTGGCCCCCTTCACGGGTCTCGGTTGGGAACCATTGCTATAGGGCTCGGCACACATTAGATCAAGGGTGGGCAACATACGGCCCGTGACGAGATTTTGACCGGCCTGCTGACTGTATTCAACCACACTCTGTAATGTGGTACAACGCATCATTCCTGAAAGTTGTCGATCGCTCTACTCTCACCGCACTGTCAGTGCGAGCTGGTGAAACAATTGCCTTAGTGAACAAACAATTGCGTTAGCACACTTGTTAAACAAACAATATAAGGTCAAAGCAAAGAGCGTTGTGAACATTCCTCACTGTTATCAGTTATGTTTAGATTCTGAATATAAATAGATTTTAGAAATTAAATTTTATATTAAGTTTTATTAACCATAGAATATCCCAAGAAACGTAAAGTTGACAGGGAGTGTCGAGCATGTAACAAAGATTGGATACTGAGGTATTTTTTGTACCTAATAATCCGGCCCGCCTAGGGATTTATTTTTTCACATCTGGCCCGCCGACTAGAGAAGTTGCCCACCCCTGCGTTAGATGGTGCTGATGAAATTCCACTTTTTAACAAAATATCTAACGAAGTATTTTGGGAGCTTTTTTGCTGGTGAAATTTTGCTAGACATATTCAGTATACTGTATTTTATTCAATATTTCTTCGTACTCGCTCTGAATGTTTTTAAATAATCAATTTTAAATCTTTTGCAATTAGTTTGTTTTTCTGTAACAGCAATCATTTTTTCGAAATAAACTTCTCAATCAAAGCGTTTCTATTTTATTTTAAAGGAACAAGAACTCGTATTATAAATAGTTGAGAGCCGTGCCGTAAATTGGTGTCATCCTAAATTTATTGTAATTTGAGAGAATTTCAGATTTGTCAGTGGGCTGTGATAACCATTAGAAACAAAAATTACCACTTATTATTCTATGCAAGTTAGCAGGTGCCGATTAGGTAGGAAATAATTAGGAATTACTTGTTGTAGGATGGTTAACCTAACTGCTGGTTAGTTTTAGATTCCTCCACCAAAGTCCACAAATCAACTATAATGGACTGGTTTTTGCCATACAATCCAGGGGGCTCCCGAAGTATGCGAACCAAGATGGCGGACATCGGAACGTAACAGGTTAGGGTTAGGCGATAATTTTTTTCCAATTTTCCTTATTTTAGTCCTATTATCAGTTCGAAGACTAGACAAGAGCCTCCCGTAGTATTTATACCTAAAATTATGGCCTAACCCTAACCTAGTACACATATTACATTGCGATGTCCGCTATCTTGGTTCGCATACTTCGGGAGAACCCAATCCAGTTATGTAATAAACTTTCCCTCCCCCAGGATTTTAAGAAAAAGTATCCTATTCTAATTGATTTACATCAGGGTTTTCCAAACCTTCCGGGTCGTGGTACCCTATTTGTGAATCTTAGTTTTGACCGGACTCGCATGCTATGCCGTATCAATTTCTGGGCCTAACCAACAAGGAAGGATAATGTTTAATAACACAAATAACATTTGCTTTTCACTGCACAATTTTTAACTCCAGGAGCAATTTGTGACAAGCAAACTCGAAGTTCCGACTCTACTGTCATCATATTGGTCAGATCAGATTTGTAATATCATGGCAGACCTCCTGTGCATTCATCATGTGACAGTTTGGAAAACCCAGATTTAGATTTTAGTTGCCCACACAAATGACAGGGTGTTTTTTTCCAAAAATAAAATCCAGTCCGACCTTGAAATTTTCAAAATACTAAATCGTGGTACCGATGGCTATGTAGCCTCTCGAATATCAGAGCCACTTGTACTGTTAAAAAAATGACTGAAACAACAAAAGGTACAGAAACTTTATAGAATTATTGGCGCTCCAGAAGTATGTGTACCAATATGGAGGTAACTAAAACCTATTCACTTGGCTAACACAGACAATCCCTTAACTCGTAATAGAACTAAAAGTAAGAAAATAAACCATGACCTAACCTCAATCTGGTACACATACTACGGGAGTACCAAATTATTGTCATAGAATGCTGCTCAGAAACAGATCGCAGAAATGGCGGCACACTTGCAAAACAACAACTTTGAAGACCAATTGACTGCATTTGCGCTCTTCTACCCCTATTGCAAGGCTTTCCTTGTTGTTCCGAGGCCACACATAGTCACATGGTTTTTAAAGGATATCATCGTTTAATGTAAAACAGCTTCATAGAAAAATCCATTATCTTGATACTAAGTCGCTCTTAATCTCTCTCTTAAAAAAAACAGGACCCATAAAATTAGTAATTACTTCAATGAAATTTATGGAACACTTGAACTTCTGTTTGTGTATGATTGTCCCCAATGAGTTTCCGTAATCAAGGACGCTTGGCACAAAAGTTATATTCTCTCCATATGTTACAAATGACCTTGGGTTCTGTTTGTTTAGTCATCTTGTATTATCTTATATTATAACTAGGGATGTCTAAGCGAACAGAATATTCGAAATATAATCGCAAATTATTCAAATTGTTTTGCGGCTAATTCGCAAATCGGTAAAATGAGGCAAAAAAAGATTCTATTTTGGACAGCACTAATTATACCCATCTCAAGTTGCACAGCCTCCCGTTCAAGTTTTAAGTTCTTGAAAAAGCAGTGCATATATACAATGCTATAAATATTTCCCACCATTTATGACAAAATTTGAATAAAGAGTTATTTTTTCTTGAAAAAACCCATAATTGATGCTTGTTTCTGTTGTTTTTTTGGTTGAGCTGCAGTAGATATCGCTGGAAATTTTTTCGTTTTTGCTTCTGTGTCACCATTTGCAGTATTGTTTTTGTGGTTTTGTTCCGCTTGATCATTGTTACCATTAGCAACAGGTTCTGCATCATCGCATTCTTCAAATTCATAATACTTTTGTGTTACCATACACCCTTCTTCATCAACAAATGTTCGACTTTTCATGACTTTTTCCCTCCGTTTATTAGTTTTGACTTCTTCAACGAATTTTTCTTTCACAGGTTCGGGTTCAATCACAGGTGGGGGTGAGGGAGGGGGAATTCCCATCTCTTCCTCGTAATTTTCATCTTCGTTTTCATCCTCACTACTAGAAGATAACATTTCCTGAATTCTGCGTCGTTTCTTCGCTGGAAGCTCGTTCGAATCATGCCGCGAATTTTTTTTGTTTTTATTCGGCTTCGGTTTTTCAACAGTTTTTGGTTTTGTTGATTTATCAGCGACTTTTTTCAAACTTTTTACAGATTTTTTATCAGTTTCAATAAAATCATCCTCGTCATCCGAAAAATCATCAATTCTTAGGTCATCTTCTTCAACTGAACGTTTCGATGACGATTTTTTATTTTTTTTCTCTTTTTTCAATGATTCTTTTGTCTTATCTTTTTGAGGTGACTTTTCAGTTGTACTGTCGCTTTTTGAAGGCTGTTTTTCACTCTTATCGGACACTGTTTTCTGTTCTTCTTTAATCACCGGTTTTACAGTCTTACTTTTTGCAAACGGATCGGTTTTATTTTTTGTTAAAAACGCAGCCACGCCCTTTTTCTGCCCCTTTTCCAATGGGGGATCAGGTTTTTTATTAGAGTTCAATTTTTGGGGTTCAGCGTCGCTTTTCGATGCTATTTCCTCTTTAACTTTCTTTTGTGGGGGTGATGTTTTCGTTTTTGTAAAAAAATTGACTTTCTGCTGCACAGGTTTCCCTTTTTCAAATGCTGGTTTCGCAAATTGTTTTTGAAGGTCTGCAGAAATCTCTTTAGCACCACCTGGTGTTTGTTTTTGTTGTTTAACTTCATTCTTTGATAAGCACTTTGCACCGTTGTACGTTATACCCCCAAATTTCGAAATTCCGCTCAGATTTTTACGATGAGTGTCATAATCAGTGGAATACAGCACAGCACTGTGTTGAAGTTTCATTTTTTGCACGCTATATAATGAAACACTATAAACTTTATCCATTTTTGATTTCGCTGAGTCAAGATCGACATCTCGAACGACCTTTACACTCATTCCAGCTGAGTCATGTCCTATTATTGCATAAACAATGTGAATTCCATTGTTTTGTTTCTTGCATGAGTCAGCGTAATTCTGAAGAAGACTTTTTGCTTTGTTGGTTGGAATAGCGAGTTGTTCGCTCAGCCATTTATAAGTGACCTGGAAGGGAAAAAGAATAGTTGTTGAATATGTATGGAATTGAAAATATTAAAATTTAAAGGGAATTCCCATTTTTAAAATTTGCAAAGAAGTAAATGAAATAATAAAACCGACCCCTGCTCTAACCGTTAAGAAAACCACCGCATTGCGACACGAGAATAATATATAAAAATAGTCGTGTGTGTGACGTGTATTAACACATATAATCGCTAATCTCAACTCTTTAAATTGAGAACAGCTTTTAGCTCCCAGGTCTCTGATGGAGTTCCTCTACCTTGCGTTTGGAATTTTGATTTAAAAGAATAAACCTGGATTGCTCTTGGTGCGTCACACTGATCGCATGTTACTCTTCCCTCGTTACTTTTCTACTTTGGGGTGAGGGCCTAGACCTGATTTTATTGAAATAATAAGGTTAAAAAACCTTGGATATATGATACTTCGTTCAACCTTTCTATGCACAAGATATTTGATTTAGCCACAATATTTTTATTTTCTGTCATTACCAAGACAGCAAGGCCTGTCTACTGAACTACTAAATGCATATGATAACTTTTCCCCTACTCGGAATTGACTGAATAAGGAGATGAGAGACCTTGCAATATAATCAAGCCCTGTTATCCTCAAATATATAAAATTTCATCTCCTGATCTCTGTGTCTCAGAGCTGCAGATACAGAAAACATGAAAAGTAAATTGGAAAAACAAAAACCGCGAACTTACGATTCGATTTTCGTCATCTACGAATTCGTCCACAGTCGCCAGAAATGAATCCAACTCATCCATACTTCAAGAAATAACATATAAACAAAAATTACAGGGCAAAATTTTGTTGAACTGCAAAGTGCAATACCTTAAAATGTAGAATTAGGAAACAGCGCGAAAATTAATGATTGACGCGTTCGTCATGCGTAATAAAATTGTCACAAAATAGGTTTGAAACGTTTTGTAGTAATAAAAGCTTGATTTAATTTAAAATATTAATTATCTTATTATTTTTAAAATAAAAATGTATATTTAATCTTGTTTTGGTCGTCTTCCATTTTTAATAAATCATTCAAGTTTTAGATTCGGGAGATGGCGATATAGAGCTAATATGGTAAATTGCAGGGTAAAAGTGAACAAAATGTTCTTTTTATTTTAATTGAACTTATATCGAATTGCCACACGGTATTCCGTGTTATGATAAATTAATTTAACCGTTGCATCTATATCGTGATTTCTACCCTCATTTTTCGCCTGAATACAGCGGTTTTACTTGTGTTCTCGAATGGCTTGTTCACCGAAGAAATGTGACAGTGAACACGGAATGCTCGAAAAAAATAATGTTTAGGACTACTTTACCCCGCATAATCCTCGTCAGTTCTTACATGAAGCGTAAGATCTACATCGAGTTAAGCTTAAACTTGAGTATACCTCACGTTGTAACCGTTTCAATTAACCAACGTTCGTCGGTATTAGTTTTATAAAATGTTATCGCAAGCTTGCGCTAGGGAGCAATCGCACCATATTGCAGGGGTAAAAATGAGCAAATGTTTATTCTTCTGCGAATCTTGAAAAAAAAAATGGTTTCCCTCTCCTTCGTCTTCCTGTATTCGTCGGTAGTTTCCGTCCGTATCAGAGGTTTCAGTCTTTGAATTTACAATCCTTTCATTCCTTGCTTTTAACGAATGGAGGCAGTTGGAAGTTGGAGGCAGGCAGGCCGCGAATTTATAAGGGATATAAATGCAGTAAATCTGCAAAAAACAAATTTGTTATTTTTCGTATTTCTAAAAAGATACCGCCAATCTGAGTATAGTTAGGAGTCTCTTAATGGTAATGGCATTAGGCTAATGCCAAATCATCCAATCGGAATTTGAATTGATGAAAAGGGGGCTAGACCACTTCACTCACAAAAGCCAAAATATAGGCAAATTAGAGTCCAGGATTTTATCAAATATTATAATCAGTAACTTATAATTAATTTTAATTAAAATGAACTACGGCAGTATGGTACTGTAGGTAGGATAGGATTTACATATTTATCCCGGGGGAGAGGAAAGCCGATAAGACGGCTTATCCATATGGCGAACCACGGCCTCTCGTCCGGTCACCATTCCAAGTCGGGTATGGGATTAGGTATATTGTTTGTTTTCGGAAGCATGGACTTGGTGGTGGAGGAAGCCGTAACCGACCAGCGGTGACGTTAACCACCCAACGACGGCGAGGAGTCCAGCAATCCTCTCGCACATAACCATCCCTGCATGGGATTCGAACCTGCGAACCCACGCAGAGTAATAAGAGGTGCGGTGGCGAGCGTATTCCTAACGCTTAGCCCGCTGAGCCACACCGCCGCGCCAGGTAGTAGAAAATATGTTATGAGAATATATAGTCTAGCTTCCTAAAGGTTCAAGCAAGGTTTCCCTATTGAAAGTCATGGATTTTAGACTAGGAAATATAATTGAGGTTGTTGATTACTTAAGTCAGTTCAAATTCATCATAGATAATTCATCAGCCTTTCAATATTGTTTCTTTATTTCCATTCTTCTGAATTAAGTGTTTTATAGCAGTGGAAACAGTTAGAAGCTGTTAAAACTGCAATAACGAGGATATAAAACCTGCAAGCTTCAAAAACGTTTTGGAGCGTCTGCATTTGAGATGAACTGGAATACTTGCCAAAGAGTGGGTAACATGCTGCAAACCTCAAGAGTGTTACATCATAATACTTCCACATTGGGATGTATTTCAAACTATCACATGAAATGTAACTTGCCAACCAGAACTGATTTAAATTTTATTCAAAAAAGAAGAACACAAACTTCATATTTTTCTCAAAAACTTTTTGAAAACTATGCACAAAGGACTTCATTATTTTGTTGCTTTTTCACTGATGTTAGGAGCCGATTTCCATCAATTATTACCTCACAAAGAAGGGATGCCTCTTCAAAACGATCAAGCAAAAAAGCTCAATACTATGCAGAAAAAGGGTGAGATAATATATTCAATAGTTAAAAACTTAGATAAGATAAGATAATTTATTTTGAACTCTGGTATGGCACAAAAAATGACAACACACAGGATCAAGATATAAAATATTTTTGAATTTGAAATTTATTTCAAAACATGAGACATAAAGTATCTCGCTTAGGTTATAGGTGAGAAAACATAATGATACACTTTTTTTGTCGTTTCGCTGGGGAGCATTGTTAGCGTCTATTCCTATTTATCTTGGGAAAGGAATGCCAATTTGAGGGTTCAATCATACGACAAATCGTGGCATCTTGTCTAAATTGGGAGTATCAAAATCAGTTCATTTTTTCAGACTTGCTGGACTCTTCCTGTCGCAGAGTGATATATGCAACCACTGGTCGGTTTCAGCTTCCTCAACCAAGAGAGGCCGTGGTTCGTCATATGATTAGGCCTTTTTTTATCGGCTTTTCTCCTGGGGTAAAAAATTTTATCTTAATTTTCAGTTTAAGAAATTCATCCACTTTTTAGACATTCAAGTCGAACGAAGCTATACTATACTTTGAAGCAATACATTCGTTCACCAGAGAACGCTGAAACGTTCGTGTCCCATCTTAAAGAAGAGGAACGCCGGTTTTTACTCGCTGCTTTAGAATCTTCTATTGGTATAAATACTAACTCTGAACAGCATGGTGAGCTTCTAGCTTAGTAAATGTTTTATTAATATTTAAAACATTTTGAGCTCTGCACGGTGGCTGGTGATGTAGCACAGGGTTTCCCAAACTTTTAAGCTCGAGACCCCTTCCATATTGAAAAAATTTCCGCGACTCCTGTTAGGTCGGTATTGCCGTGCAAGCGTGCCGCTTCTCCGATCCTATGTATTTTCTCGAAATTGTGAGATTTATGTTTTGCTCTAGTTGTGTTTCGATTCGAAAGTCTAAAAAAGTACAAGAGATAAAGCACTTTGTGTGAGATTGGTGTACTCTTTGCGACCTTTATAATTCGTTGCCACCCATCTGCAGGGTCGCGACCCCCAGTTTGGGAAGCCTTGATGTAGCATGTAGGAATTCACTCTTCTATTTTCTATGGGGTTTTGAACTTTATGAAGAATATGCTCATCTCTGAGCAACGAACCAGATGGCAAATGAGTTGAGCCTGATGGTTATTCTGATGATAGGGTCATAGCACATCATAAGAAGCATTTGACTCAACTTTAAGAATTGAATATTTTAAGCTTTGCATAGCTATGGATGCTGGTGATGTAGGATCTACCAACTAACTCTGCCTATCCTGGAATTTTTTATAAAGGGCACATGGGTCATCCCTGGAATGCCAAGGGTGCCATACAGTATTCTGACAATATGGAAACATATGTTTAACTCTGTCTCTTTTACGTCTGAATGGCTTTCAAGAGCCTTTTCTTCTAAGTATACTTCACCAAATCAGTATTTACTAATGTTTAATTAATCACCATAATTCTATATAGTTTCAATAGTTCACAGCATTTCACTGACCATGAGTCTATTTTACTTCTGAGTGAGTGTGTGTATTGGACCACATTAATTATATGTAGTTTTATGTAGTCTTACTGCATTCACATTACCTTGAAGAAAATTTCTGTATAAAGAAACAATCAAAAAGATGTTTACTGCTTTATTCTTTTTTCTCTCTGAAATCATCAAAAATAAAAGCTTTGCTAGCTTTCACACTTAGCTGTAGAATTCATTGGATATCATTAGGTTTATCCATATAATTCCTTGAATGCCTAATTTATATTACATTGCGTATGGAACTTCTCAAATTTCTGCTCCAGTTACAGGGGCAAAGCCAAGAGGGGCTTTCGGGCACTCGTGACTCTTGGGAACCCGCGTTTTCCAGCCTTCGATCAGACTCACCAGCTGTTACAGTCTATCTTGGCAATTCAAAGTTTCAGAACAACACCCCCCCCCCCCCCCTTTGAATTCTGGTCGACAACCCTGGTTGTTGCTTCCCAAACTGTGCGCAATGCTTGATTGCAAGATAATTTTGAGTCTTCAGTCGGGCTATCATTTTTAATGTGCATAAAACAAGGTCACACATACCCTTATTAAATGTACATATATTAAAAAAAATTTCCTGGTAATGTAAAGTTGATGAAGTCGCATTTTATTTCCATTACGTAGGGAACCCGTAATTCTGAAACGTAATACAGTGCAAACAATAAAATGCTTGATTGGGAAGGAACTTCTCCCATTTCCAAGAAGGCAGAATTAGGGAAAGCTATATTTGACTTTCAATTTGTGATTTTAAGCTTGATGCTGTAAATGTATATATTATTTCCAGGTGAGGACTCAGGACAGATCACCAAGCGACAGTTATATCTTGGTGAGTAATTTTACCTTTACATGTGTGTCTTTTAGAGACTCAAGAAAAGCTGAAAAAAACAAAAAATTCGGACTTCGAATTTATAAAAATTCATGTTTAATAATGTTTCAAAATTTTTCGTTCACCTGTTTATTGCACTAAGATGAAATGGCCCGACTTTATGGGATTCAAACCCTCGATTTTTATCCTGTTCTTCACAAAAGTCCATTATGTCCCACTCCATTAGGATGATCCAATTGCATTAGTTCAATGTTGTGGCATCACAAATATGCCATTAGTTAGATGCCACACCATAAATTATGCATGATGTGGTCTGTCTTAATGCAATAACAACTGTTATGACTACTGTCAGTCTCGAAGATTGTTGACTACAGCTTTTGATTTTTGAATAAAGGTTGGCGTATGAGTAAGCCGTCTTATCGACCTTCCTCTCCCTTGGGATGAAAATGATATCTTATAGCAGTGGTTCCAAACGACGTCCCGTGGGCCTCGTGAAATGATTTTACGTTCCAAATACCGCCAATTGTTATGTCATTATCGCAGTTTGAGGGTGTGTGCTCTTCTTTTCCAGCCCGCGAATATCCTTTCGCTTCTAATTTTGGGTCAATCAATTTTAAGAACCACTGCTTTATATTGTGCCTGGCTAAATATAGCATGAGCTTAGTCGGGACGTAAAGTTTTATGTCTAGTTCGTCGGTTGAAAGCATCATAGACCAGGGATGGGCCAGTTATACATAACAGACATAGTTAGTGGGCCGTTGGCTCAAAACTCTATATAACTTATAGCCGCCAATATCAAAGTTTGAGGGCCTGTTCTCCACTCTTCCAGCCTGCGCATATCCTCTCACTTCCAGTATTGGGTTAATCAACTATGGGAACCACCGATTTATGTTGTGCCAGGCCATTTATATAGTGTGTCTTAAGTCTGGACATGAAGTTTTCTCGTCGATCTCTGAAGCTCCAGATCTTCTAGTCGGTGCTTGTACAATGCCTAGTTCAGAAGTTGAAAACATGCAATTAGACCAGGGGTGGACAATTACTTTCTGAGTTGGCCAGTTAAATATAACATAAACATACATTAAACATAAAAGACTTGGTTACTGGACCGGGGGGGCTCAAAACTCTATATTAAAAACTATCAATAGAAACAGTTTATTTACAACAGCTAGGCTAACGTTTATAAAATAATAAGAAGCACAATGTAACAATCAGGGTCATTATGACGTTATTTTCGTAGATACGGGAATTTAAATCCATGAAAACTATAGTCGTAATTTCAGCAGACACAAGTGAAGTGATGAAACACTTTGGTGTGCCGCTTCGGCCCATGGCCACAATTAGCCCACCTCTAATATGCTTGACCCTTGAGAGCTTATATCAATTTCAATTAGAAATTCATATATTCTGAAACTCATTCAAAAACCACTTTCCCATTATGCATGACATTAATTATTCATGCCATGTCATGTTCATATTTATGCGGCATAAGTCAACTATTGTCAAATAAATGCGCAAGATAAGTCTTGCAGAATAATTGTTACACTTCAATGAATATTGCTGTCGTCATGCTTCAATGAACACTTCTTTGCGTCCTGGTTTTGGGTGTTTCTGTCAATATAAATGTATATGTAGCATGAGGAAATTATTGCGAGATGATGGAATAAAATATTCACACTTAGTGGAATTTACTTTTTATAATTTTGTGCCAATATTAATGCCCAAATGAGTCAACTTTTGTCAGCAAATAAATGTATAAGATACGTCTCATATAATGTTCTTTAGGCACCAATGAACATTGTGTTGTGATGCTTCAATGAACATTTTTCGATTTCCATTGCTGGATTAAATTCAGGGCTATGCTGTCTGGAAATTTCGCAGCCGTTTAAAAATGATTATGGCTACTACGTTCGCCAACTCTGTGTTGATGAAAATTTTATCTCCGACTCCATCTTCATATTAATAGAAAATCAATGTGTCATCACACAAACATTGACTTTATTAGCATGCCACAATAAAAAAAACTTTATTTTTCTCAAAACTATCTTTGTGCTTGTTGGAATTGGTTTCCACTTCGATGACATCATAAAAATTTAAAAATGCACATCATGTACCGGTTTCCCTAATTGCAATTCAATAATCTGGTTGCCAGAGAAGGTATTTATTAGCATCCTCTGAGACTTTGACACAAAAAATTTGAAAAACACTGTGTGTGCCACGTTATACGGGAAAATTCTGAAAACAATTGGATGAAGTATTGATTGATTTTTTGTCAGAAACATGATCTCACATTCACTTAACTTATTAAACAACACTATACAGCAACCATGAACCTCTCAATGCAATTTGCAAAGCCGCACTCATTTATTATTTATAATGCAAGTGTGTCTGTGCCCAAACTCTGCGTGACATGAGCCAGATTAAATGGGTCTTTGTAATTAGAGAGAAAATACAAAAACGGGCTTTGGCTTTGAATAAAGAGATTCTGAACAAACCGGCGATACTCATCTGTCATCAATAAGATTTCAAATTATGTTTTCCCACTGTTAATAAATTGAGCAATCACTGATTTCTATGATTCTCTAACTTTCACACGAAGCCACTATAACTTGACTATAATGCATTCAGAAATTAAAAATCCAAAATATCAAGGGTCGTTAGAATATTTGGATAAACCCTGTAAACCAGTAGGACATGGCGTCTATATTTTAATCAATAACACATAGAACAAAATTAGTCAAAATAGTTGGCTCTCCCGAAGTATGTGAACCAACATGGCGGACACCGAAACGTAGTATATGTGCCAGGTAAGGGTTAGGCCATAATTTTATTCAATTTTCCTTATTTTAGTTCTATAATGAGTTCGGGGACTAGCGAGGTGACTCTTGTAGTATATGTACATGAAATTATGGCCTAACCCTAACCTGGTACACATACTAGGTACCGGTGTCCGCCATCATGGTTCGCATACTACAAGAGTACCAAATACCTAGGCCCAACACCCAAACTATGAGGATATCATGTCATGTCCACTGCTAGATGAGTCACCCCAATAATCAGCCATAAATTCTTGTGTTTCAGTTTTCGTTCACAACTGTATCCCATTTATTGGTTTCGGATTCCTGGACAATGCAATCATGATATTGGCGGTAAGTTATTTAGTTTTGTTGGTTCGAGGGGGCCTAATTGAGCTAGTTTTGTCAAATATCTTTTTAATTAGTTCGTGTTCAGCAAAGATATTGTGAATTCATAGATATTGGATTTGAGATAAACCTTAAGATTATCAAATTTTCAAATGCAAAGTTCCATGATTTCAAATATTTGAAAGCTATTTTTCCAGTTGGCAATGACAAGTAATTTTATTGTTTGAACAAAAATAATTCATCAGAAAAAATCATACGTCTCTGAATTACTAGAAACATCTTTTAGTCAGTTAATTGTTGATCTATTCAGACCATTTAACTCTGTTAAAACCGCCTTAATCCAGTTACGACCATTCTCACTTTATTTCTCTCCCATGAGACACTTTTTTGTTAAAATAATTGGATTCTTCACTGAATTAACTTTCTTCGTTTTCCAGGGGGAATACATTGACCTGACTATTGGCGTTACCTTAGGGATTTCTACAATGGCAGGTGGGGATGATTTATTATTATTGTAAGGTGAATCCATAATGTGTCCAAAAAATCTCAGATGAAGAATTTTCTGTGCCTGGCAAAATACTTTCTTACTTTCTCCTACACATTGAGATCTTTTATTATGATTTTATTATTTCAAGTTGTGTGTGAGTGTGTGTGTGTAACCTCGCTTCGAAAAAACATGCTTTCATATTATTGTGGTTAGATAAAATGCCTGCTTCACTATCACAAGACAAACTAATAATTTTTAATATCTTATCAAGTATTATTGACAACATAATATTGAACATATACTCTCTAAAACCTCTGCACAGAATTATTCTGGTCTGCAACATATATTAGATCAAACCAAGCTTGTTTACCTGTGTAAATTCGCTCAAAATATTTTCACAAGCCTTGACAAAACTGTTGAGCAACACCATATGCAATGTGATATGCTTTCAGTGGCATATCTAGGGCAGTCATGGCTCGTGCCACAGGTTTTTAGTTACCCCCGTAGTGTGTGCACCAGGTTAGGGTTAGATGTTCTGTTTGCTGTACTGCTTGTCCAGCTTCTGACAGATGTACGAGGTGGAGCACATTGGCATAATCAGTGATTCCCAAACTTTTAAGCTCGCCACCCCTTCCAATATATTAAAATTTTCCACAACCACTGTTAATTCGGCATTGTTATGCAAGCGCGCCACCTATCTGGTCCCATGTATTCTCTCGAAATTGTGAGATTTATGTTTTGCATTAGTTATTATAATTATGCTTTGAATCAAAAGTCTAAAAAGTGCAATAGATATAGTACTTGTGTGAAATTGATGCTCTTTGCGTTCCCTAAAATTCATTGTTCGTCCTACTGCAAGGTCATAACTCCCGGTTTTGGAAGCCCTGACGAACTTCAAAAAAAAAATTCAATCAAGTCAATTTATATCAAAGGAACAACTAGTTACCGGTAAATAATACCAAAATTGATGGCAACTGGATGAGAGTCTGTGGTCAGGTTCACACTATAAAAAAGCTGTTTTTATCAACTTTCCTCGTTTCCAGGATAAACGGCAAAATACCCCTCCACATTAAGATCTTTCATTATGATTTTATTATTTCAAGTTGTGTGATTTCTCTAACAAACTTAGTTTTATTGATCAACCATTTTCTTATTGATTGATTTGCCAATTTATTCAAATGATTGATGTCTATGGTTATCACTTATCATAAAATCGATAATTATTGTTTCGATTGATTTTCCATTTTTATAGCGTCGTTGAATAATGTTTGATTTATGTCTGACCATCAGATGCTAAGTGCCCAATATGATATATTTTCAAACAAAAGTATTCAAGTTTTATTCTATATAAAACTAATATTTTACATCAAATATACCCACTTTGGAATATTTTATGTTTTGGACACCCTGCTTTAAACAAACATACAAGAACAAAATGAAATGAATAATAAGGCATTTAGTTCTGCCAAATTTATTATTTTCAGCGGTATTTTGCAAACTTTTCAAAATCTAATTGATTAGTCAAGCGTAAAATCCGCCATTCTGATTTCTATGTCTTTCACAAATTTTCGTAGTTTCTGCTTGATTAACCAAGTGTAAAATTTTGACAATTTTTTCCAGCTGCTGCTCTTGGAAACACTATATCAGACATTGCTGGGATCGGGTAAGAGCTTTATGTTGAAGAAATAACATTTTGGAGCGACAAGTTCTTTGGCAATGATACTCTTTGCTCTTAAGCAGAGGTTTTGAGGGCCACAATGCTAGGTGCAAAACGGATTTTACTTATGCAAAACTAAATTTTTTATCATTTATTTACTGGTCTTCTTTTTCCTTAGTGGATGCATATAGCTGTTGTGGTTGTCCAAAACTTTGCTAAGAGATGGGTCTTCTGTACTTCTGTGTGTGAGTGTATGTAGCGAAAAAATTTTGAAAACATGGTTCCATATTATTGTGACCAATATCACAAGACAAACTAATAAATCTCAATATATTATCAAGTATTATTGACAATATAATATAGGATATGTAGCCTACTCCCTAAAACCTCTGCACAGAATTCTTCTGGTTTTAAGATTTGTATTAACATATATTGGATCAAACCAAGCTTGTTTTCCTGTTAAAATTCGCTCAAATTATTTCCACAAGCCTTGACAGAAATGGTGATCAACACCATATGCAATGTGATGCATTCAGTGGCATATCTAGGGCAGCCATGGCTCGTGCCACAGGTTTTTAGTTACCCCCGTAGTGTGTGCACCAGGTTAGGGTTAGACAATAATTTTATTCCGATTTTCCTTATTTAAGTTCAATTATGAGTTCGGGGACTGTCTGTGTTAGCCAAGTGAATATACCCCCTGCCCATAGGTTTCAGTCCCTTTATACAACTTGATGTAAATTAGGAGAACAAAAATTAATTACCTCCATATTGGTGCATACACTTCTGAAGCGCAGATTTTTATGCTCCATTGGTTACTTGCAACCCTCCCTCTATCAGTAATTTTTCCAATATTGCTGGAACAGTCGACCTCTTGCTCTGAGCCAACCTGTATGAATAATGTGGCCTCTGCACAGGTTTATTATTGTGCGAGAAATATTAGTTAATACAGGGATAAACGAAGCTTTTCTCTTTACTCTAGATTGGCTGGATATGTTGAAAGCCTCTTCTATAAACTTGGGTTGCCAGTACCTGCCTTAACACCGGAACAAGCAGAGCAGAATTCAACTATTTTTTCATCTAATGCGGTAAGTTTCTGTTTTTTTAGAATTAGTGGGTTCCAGATTTAAACATTTCACCCACCTGGGGCTGGACATTTTTGAATACCTGAGGATTTCAGAATCACATAAATTTTTCAAAATGGAAAATGGAAATATTCGACTGTATGTGACCTCTTATTGTGATGGGCACATAATTTACTGAAAACTTTCATAGTTTCAGACAGTTTTAGAAACATGTTTCATTAATAACTCACTAAAGATAAAAGAGTCGGTAAAACAGTAAAAATATCGCTTCAATAAAAAAAATTGAGGAATTCACCTCGACCTGTGTTGGTTTAAAAACAAGATGACGGCAATTTGAAATTCTTGCCTGAAGCAATTCGCAGTTGTTTTTAGAGCATTTTATAAATTTAATGATAGCAACTTCATCAAGATCAAATCTAAGGTTCTCTTCGCTACTATAACTATCAGTAGAAGTTACACAAGACTAACTTCCGACTAACCGACTCTTCCTCAACGCCCTAGTGGATCCGTATTCGTATAATGCAAGGATGCTGTAGCAGGAATAAACATGGCCATGCTATGCAATTCAAGAGTCCAGCTGCACACAAACACAAATGTATTTCTGTAACGTTTCGTTTGACCAAAATCAGACTTGCTCAGACAAACAGTTTACAACAAATTTACAACTCTGATTTTGATCAGAGGAAACGTTACAGAAATACATTCATGTTTGTGTGCAACAGGAATCTTGAATTGCTTAGTCTCTTCACTGGTATTGTTATTTATTTTACTATTTGGCCCTTTGGAATTGATTTACTACATTATTATTACTTATCGATCTTAAGATCGGTAAGTATATTGATAGGTATTTGTATGTATGTATGTCTGTCTGTGTGTGTGTGTGTCTGTTAGATGCACGCGACATCTCACGAAAGCGGGATTGATCTGCTCCAGATTTTGCATGTGCATTCATCTTATCTCGGACCAGAATCCTATTGATTTTGGGCGAATTATGTCGTATAATTAGCGAGTTATCAATCAATTATTGATATAGTGATCTAGATTTTTGTAAAGCGAGAGAATTTTGAAACCCGCCGAGTGTGTGTGTGCGATGCGCAGTGCGCAAGTTACAAGAGCGGATGAATCGAAACTGCAGTTTCTGTTTTGGGGGATCCCCTAACTATCGATCGATAAGTCTTCGGTTTCCAACCGATATTCTCGTTACATAGTAAGTTCTTCAATTTCAGGGCAAAGCATTTGGAATTTTGATCGGTTGTATAGTTGGAATGTTCCCACTGTTATTCATCGCTAAAGAAGAAAAGGAAGATGGATGACATCTTGAATAATTTTTCGAGTTTTATCGAAGCATTTGGCTTGAAATACAGTTACTTTTGAGCTGCTCGACTCGGGCCATTATTATTTTATTTGTTTCAGTAGCTCAGACCATTTCAGTCTGTAGAACTGTATGGTGATACAGACAAGCAATAAAAAGGCCTGATATTATTTAACATTATATCTGTATTGCATTCTATTGACTGGGATAAGTTTATGCTTTCTCATGCTTTAAATTTTTAACTTTTCGAGCTGCTTTTCCATTGCACCTGAGAAAGTATATTTAAATCTTTTTTTCTGTAATTGCCATATTTCTTCATTTAGAAATATTTTTGTTGTTTCATTATTTTAACCAACATTGTTTTTTTTTCAAATCCTGTGTTAGTTTTTCAGTCATATAGTGTTCCTTTAGTTTTAAATGTATTTAGTTTTATTGCAATTTTCAGATATTTTAATAAATTTTTGTTCAAAGCAAAACCTGGAACAATTACTGCCGGCTATTGCTAGATTTTAGGATTTACATATTTATCCCGACATATACATATTTAACCGACCAGCGGTTATGTGAACCACCCTACGGCGACGAAGAGTCCAGCAGTTCTCTTGCACATAACCATCCCCGCTTGGGATTCGAACATGCGAACCCACGCAGAGTAATCAGAGGTACGGTGGCAAGCGTATTCCAAACGCTTAGCACAATGAGCCACACTGCCGTGCCTGATCAAACCGCTGGACGATGAATCGAAAAAAATATGCTCGAGATTCTAAATCAGTGTTTCACAAACTTTTTAATAAATTCCTCTCAAATTTTGGATCCATATATTCTCCCTCACAATGCTGAAGAACTCCATTTTCGTTCTATTCTAGAAATTTGTAATTGTAACTTTTACTTTGAATCATATGTTGCTGCTGTTTTTAGTTGGTATTTTCTGTTGAATTTCGTTCATTTTATATATTTGAATAGTTAACAATATATATACATGTTGAATTTTTATAAGCTAGTGCTGTATTTTGTGAAAGTATGTACAAAGGTATGTACACAGTGTTATGAATAGCAAAGAAGTTGGCCTCGTTTGGGGCCGAGGGTGTTTTAAGCATGTGCTCCAAACAAAGCTCGTAGACAGGCAGGTACTCCAATGAGCAAATAGACGAGGTTCTTTTCATGTAGTTTGGGTAACAATCCAACCTAATTTAATCAGTCATTTTACTTTGGTGTTTCAGAATAGCAATATAACAAGAACGATTATGTAGGCGAGCACGTTCTAAAAATTGAGCCAAAACATGTTGCTGCAGGGACGAGCAAGGAAATATAGTACAGCAATATGAAAACTGATGGTTCGCATATACGATCTTCCTCACTAAATGTGTGTTTGTTTTTCTCAAAATGTAACGGCTTCATATAAATTTTACAAGAGAGATATGCTCAAATATACGGACACGTAGCGCCACATAATTTTGATGACGTCATGGCAAAAAATAAAAGTAATAGCCTTTTGGGGAAAAATTCTCAACCACTGAAAATTTCAGAGCAATTGGTCCAGTAATCAAATAGAAAAGCGATTTCTTCGAAACGATACAAAGAACAACAATAACAAAACGATCGTTATGTCCACTACGTGTCTAATAATTACGGAGACGGATGCAATGTAAAAAAAAACCGCATGGTACGCTGTCACATGCAAAATTGGAAAAACGTATTTTTTTTCTCCGCTCTAGTTGAACGGCAGGTATATGGATAGGTCAGATATGTGACTTGATACGATAACGTACCAATGAAATTCGATCCGTGGCAGATTAGCCCGAGAGAAAGAGATTTATTGCCACAAAAACAAAGTCAACACTATTATTATAAACATAATACAATGAAGAAATATTTCAGCAGTAATAACAGTGATTGATTCAAACCATCAAGTCCATGCTTCCGAAAACAAATAACTGGCCAACTAATCCCTTACCCGACCTGGACTGGTAACCGGACGAGAGGCCGTGGTTCGCCATATGATTAAGCCGTCTTATCGGCTTTCCTCTCCCCCGGGATAAATATTTAAATCCTATCCTATCATATTGTTTTGCGTGGGCCCAATTAAAGTGATCTGGGCTCCCGACCATTGTGATTTGTGTATGTATGCCCATATGCCTTGGACGAATTACCAGTTGAACCGTTTGAAGACGAGTTTGTCAAACGATTGGGCTTTTTTTTGCCAAATTATGTTTCATTGCCAATGTGGAATTGTTCCATTGGGCTCTCTGGCCGGCGCTATCCACTTTGGAGGTAAATTATTATGAAAATTTTAATGCAAGAATACGGGGTCAATAATTTTAATATGACCTATGATCTTTGAACTCTTTGGCCTGTAAGATACATGTCACATAATCAGATGATACTATGTAAATATTAATCATATTCAATGTACACAAAGAATAAATTTTATTCTTGAAATAAAAATTATCTTACAACTTCATTATTGAAAACGTGGAAAAAAGATTATTGATATTCTTATTCCTTATCAAACTTCGCACAACCAGCCCTCTTTATTGTATCTGGCAACAGTAAAACCTACGTGTCGTTAATCTTGTACTGAATCGACGAAGTCGTGTTTGCAAACGTAATTTGTATAAGTAATTCGACCACAATGTCGGACGAAAAACCTGGAACGTCATCAGAAGGGGGGTACGATTGCTTTTATTATTTTATTTATAAATGAATCTTCATTTTACATGCTTACTTGTGGAAATAACTGTGAAAGTTGACTAATGTTAGGTCTCTTTTGCGATCCATTATTCGCTATTTGATTAAGGTTTAAAATCTACTTAAAAATAGCCTATAGTCTAACTAACATCACTGCCAATGCAACATCTTCGTACCAGTGATATGTCGAACACCGAAACAAACAAGGCTTCCTTCTACGACACCATAAAGCCTATCCCAAAGCCGCGTCTGAGCAGAAGCCTTCCTGATCCTGGCCTCTCTCCAATAGGTCCCATCATACATCAAAAAGAGGGACCTTACAACCTTCAAAAAACCTACAGGAAACAATTCAAAGACACATTGAAATGCTACTTCCAACTCTTATCACCAAGTGTCTTGAAAGATCATTTTAACCCAGCGAACACCAGCTCGGATTATGCATCACTGAGCCCCTGGGCTTAAAGAATGCATAGAAGACCAAATGCAGTCTTTAAAGGAGGTAAAACAAGACATCGCCTCAATTAAGGAAACCCAGAGTTTTCAATCGGACATGTTCGATAAGCTGTCCTCAAAACAAAAATCGATGGATGAAAAATTAACCATCTATGGCAAAAAAATACGTGAACTTGAGGAACTAGTTTGTGACCTGGAGGAAGACCTGGATTATACTGCTGAAAAACTGGAAGAACAGGAAAGGAGGTCAAGACTCGACAACTTAGAGTTTCATGGCCTTGCACCATCAGTGAACGAAGACACAGATAAACTTGTAATTGAGGTTGGTAATTGATCAATGTTGATATTAAACCATCTGACATCTCAATCACTCATCGCAGCCCAACCCACAACTCGAACATTCACAAACCTATCGTAGCCAAATTTACCAACAGGAAGATACGGAATAAAATCCTCAAGAATCGCCATTTAATCAGAAGCCCCTCACACAGATCATCCTTAACTAACTTGTCCAAGGCCTTCATTGTGGAGAATTTGACTGAAAAAATAAAAATCTCTTTTACCAAGCTAAAATTCTCAAAAAACGATGTGGCTATGCTTTCCTCTGGACATCGAACGGGAGAGTATTAGTGAAAAAAAATAAAGATACCAATACCATTTCAATATCTGATGAAGATGATCTGCAAAAAATCAGATAAGTGTCTTTTCTATTTGAACTATTGTCCTATATCTTTTATTCCTACTATGGAAAATTTAAACAACTTAGGCCAGATTTGTAGAGAAATACCCACATCCGCTTGTCATTTTATTATTCGTGTTACTGTTTGCGACAAATTTTTCTCATTTGATCATTACAACTCAATCTCATTTGATAGAAAGCACACTTATTATCCTAAATCTCCTTCAAATCTATGTGCCCTGTATATGATTTAAACCTCTCATCCTTCCCATGTAAACTGGGAATCTACCATTCTTCATACCCATGTTAGTTTACCAACCATGTCGGCACCTCCAAATTAATGAGATCAACGAGGTCTCATCCAGCTTTCCACCCTCTGATCTCATTTTAGTGCATTTCAACATCAGGTCACTGCCAAGATATGCTGACAACCTTATCGAATTAATATCTCATTTTCATGCTCTCCCTCATATAATTGCCCTGAGTGAGACCAGAATCATTCATGGAGCCACGTTTGTAAATATCGATATCCCGGGGTACGCGTTTATTCATGTTCCCACCCCAACCCAAGCTGGAGGCGTGGGATTTTACCTCAGAAAAAATTTAGATTACCTAATCATCCAAGATTTTAACTTAGCATTTCCAAACTGCGAAGACTTGTGGATTGAGGTCAAACAAAACTCAAACAACCAGAGCCTAGTAATTGGTGTAGTTTATAAACATCCGAAAAGTAACATCCCATCATTCACAGGAGCAATGGCTCGTGTTCTTGGTGGGCTGGCAATGGCGAAAAGGAAATTTGTGATTCTGGGTGACTTTAATATCAACCTACTTAACACCCATGATAAATCCACCACCAACTATTTAGATATGCTGATGTCCTATTTCGTATTTCCATTGATCACAAAACCTACTCGAGTCACGCCATCCTCCCAAACCCTCATCGATCATATTTATACAAACGCCATAAACCATTGTTCTTCATCCTTTATTTTACTTAGCGATCTCACCGACCACTTTCCAGTAATGTGTACAATTTCGGGTATGAATATTGGCACAAAAACAAAGATCCAAGAATGAAGCGAGATATGACTAAATTTTTGTAACGACTCTTTTAGATCTGAAATTGAATTAATGTGTAATAATTACATGAGTGTTACTCTTACTAGAGAAAATTTCAATAGCTCTTTTGATGATTTCCTGGGTCAAATGAAATGGTTAATAAACAAACACGCTCCATTAAGACCCCTATCACGAAGAGAAAATAAATTATACTCCAAACCGTGGATCACTAAGGGAATTCGCAAGTCCATCATTCACAAAAATAATATGTTCAAAAAAAAATTTTTTGAAAGGTAATACACTTCAGCGTCTCCCACTTCAAAAAATATAAAATATCTTAATGCACTTGCAGAGAAAATCGAAACAACTGCATTATCGCTATGCCCTCGAGAATAACCGGGGAGATATCAACCAAACTTGGAAAACTATTAACGAGATCATTAAGACTAAGTCCAGAGATGATACATCCATCTCAGAATTGAAACTCGAAAATGGTACCACAGTGACAGACCCCATCATGATGGCCAGTGAATTTAATGAATTCTTCTCAACGGTAGGAAAGAAACTTGCGAATAACATCCCTGGTAGCTCTAACCCTTCTACCGATTTTTTGGGTGTTCCGCTGCAAAACACCTTTTTCCTGGAGCCAACGACACATACAGAGATTCTTCAAACCATATTGAACCTGAAAAATGGAAAAGCAGTTGGCCCAGATGGTATTCCAACTTACTTTCTAAAACAAGTCGCTGATATCATATCGCCAACTCTGTGTCATTTTTTCAACTCATCTTTTAAATTAGGTATTTTCCTTCATCGTTAAAGTTGCCAGAGTGAAACCAATATTTAAAAATGGCAAAAGAAATGACCCGTCAAATTACCGACCAATTTCCATTTTACCCTCCCTAGGCATCATTTTAGAAAAATTAATTCATAGTCGAATGCTGAATTTTTGTAAAAAATTTAACTTGATCAATAAATGTCAATTTGGATTCCAAAGCAATCACTCGACCAGCCACGCTATCTTGGACTTAACTTCATTTATTTATGATAAACTTGACAAAGGGGAATTCGTCTGTTGTACTTTCTTAGATCTGAAAAAAGCTTTTGATACTGTCGACCATGCTATTCTCTCTCAAAAACTTAGATATTTTGGCTTTCGAGGTGTCGCAGGCAAGTTATTAAATGATTACCTGTCCGACGTTATCAATATGTGGAGTTAGATTCTCACAGGTCTTCGTTATTACCCATCCATTACGGAATTCCACCAAGGTAGCGTATTAGGACCTTTGAATTTCTTAATCTTCATAAACGATCTTTCAATTGTTCAAATTTCTTGAGCAAACTCTTCGCCGATGATGCCTGTCTGCTCGACAGTGCAAAGAATCTAATCTCACTGCAAGCCGAGGTGAACACTGAAATTAACAAAGTGTATAATTGGATGGTATGCAATAAACTTACTGTGAATGTTAAAAAATCTAAAGTTATGTTGTTTGGTCCTAAAAACTCGAACCAGACATGAAAACTTTTCAATTAAAATCAGGGGTGTCACACTCGAATTGTCCACTCTTTCAATATCTTGGGCTTCTTATTGACGATAAACTAAATTGGAACACTCATACTACTGAACTGCATAAGAGACTGTCAAGAGCAGTTGGAATCCTGGGTAAGCTCAGACATTACGTCCAGGACTCAACTCTCCGAACCATATACTTCGCACTTTTCCAGTCTCACATACAGTATGCTATAACTGCATGGGGCTCCGCCACCCCAATCAGCGTTGCACAGTTTGGAAAGTTTTACAAAATAGAGCAGTTAGAATTCTCTTCTAGAGCACCCATTCGATCTAACTTAAACACCCTATACTATAAGACCAGGGTGTTAAAATTAGCCGATATCTATCAACTAGAGATTTCCAAGGTCATGCATCAGTTTCATAGCAACCATTTGCCCCGCTGCTTTCGACGATTATTTTGTTTCGCTCAGCAAAGTGCATGATCATTAACACACGCTCTTCGACAAGTCTAATTTATTTGTACCCAGATTTTCTCTAAGCAAATCCCAAAACTCCTTGAAATATAAAGGTGTGGTAACTTGGAATAATATTCCCTTAAACTTACGTAACTGTAGTTATGACACTTTCAAATTCAAATACAAAAAATTCATGCGCTCCCTTTACCTTTCCACTGCCTCTACATCCAGTTGATGTTGTCCCAGCTAATCTTCTCGTCATTGCCAGCTCATCATTTGTCTCGATCCAAATCACCTGTAACAAAACAATGTCTCGTGTAAATATTCGTATTGTATTTTAGCTTATAATTTTAATTGTGTATTCCTTACTGATGGGCACAAGCCACTTGACAAGTATTTCTGTCACCAACACATTGTGGTTTGAGGTAAAGCCAAAAATTATATTACTAAAATTATATAACAAAAAAATATTGCAGGCTTTTTGCCCTACTATTGAGCCCGCTCCTCAATGATCTTGGTCTCCTATTTAGTGTGTAATTTCTTGATATCTATTCTGTTAACTGCCAATGACAAATTCATGCCTACAGTCCAATGCCCATAAGTACACTTATTGTTACCATGCCATTTTACATGCCTCAACTGGGATCCAAACTTAATTGGCATCCTTCTGATTACTTTCATTATGGGCAGTCAAGCCTAATGTTGTATTTGTTTTTACTATTTATAATGCTTCGGTAACAGTGATCCAGGTCAATTGTTTTTATCCTTTTGATTAACTTAATTTTTTTTTGTAAATTTTCCTAGTCTACTTCTATGGTATGATACTCACTTCATTGTGTTGTATTAATACTGCTGAATATTTCGATGTATATTTTCCTCATGTCTATACAATTCCCGTATGTGAATCTTTGACTCCAGCATCAAAACACTTGTTAGTCCAGGTCAACATTTTAGCTTTTACACTACTAGCTTGTTTCTGCCTCAAAGTGTCAATATTTTGTTATTTGCATACTTGATTGGTACGGTATTCTATACTTTTACAATTTGTGTACTCTTAACATCCAGTTTTATTTCAATCTGGACACTTATATGCACACAATCGACTTGTGTTGCACTTTACCGTAGCCGAACTATTTACCTGCCATGACCACACTGCAAGTCTGTTTGGTTCACTTAATAATTTCCATGGTTACCCAGACTGTGGTGCATGGAGTCGATTTTCTTATTTTTAAACGGCGATTGCTTGGTTTTTACCGGGTCGCCTTGACGCATCGATTGCGTTTCTTTATTTATTTATTAAGTAATATATTTTGTTCGATTTAATTATATTTATCACGTTTTTGTTAGACTTCCCCGAGGGTGCCGCCGCTCGATAACCAGAATTGGTTTTCGGCGTCTCCTTTCACCCTGGAATGCGGTCTTTTATATTTCCTTTTTTGTGTATGTATAATTCGTACTTTCAGCTTGGTGAAGAAATAAATTACTGATTACTGATTACTGATGTGTTTTACCCGTTTTTCGTCCCATGTTGCAATTCGTCTTTGATTTTTCGTTACAGATTACTGAAATTGTTTTGTGTCAACTGCCTGAGATCCTTGTCTCAAGATTAAGCCAATGTACTGATATAGGGGGTGTTAATAAAGTCTGGTATTTAATTAGGTAAAAGGACTTTGATGTGCTTCATACAACTAATAATGGTGGACATATAACTGTATAAGGGTTTATAAATGAAGTGAAAGGAGCTTAAGTAAACACCGATTAAAATAAAACAATTCTGGCTGAGATATATTAACAACTGACTCATACGATCATAAGAATTGTTATAATAGGTACTTTACCATCACCATGTTTGTACAGTAGGGGAGGGGTCTCCTGAAGTACACACCGCAAGCGGTCTTACTACTTACTGAATACAGCGCGAAACACCGCAAAGAGCGCAAAACAGCGCAAAACAGAGGGAAACAGCGCAAAACAGTGGGGAAACAGCGCGAAAGAGCGCAAAACAGAGGGAAACAGTGTGAAGCAGAAAAACAATTTTGCAATGAGTTCGGGGCACTTTGTTTTGAGTTGGAGTACCACGGCAGCAAATTAAAAACACAAACCAACGTATGTAGCCAGTAATGCTGTAATGGCAGGTCTGCCCCTGCTGGTGACACATTTTGGGTACCATAATTTAGAACATTTTCCATATGGATATGGTTGGCTTTAGGGTTAGGGTTAGATCAAAAGGGACCTCCAGGAGTATGTGCACCAATATAGCGCACAACCTGAAAATAGTATGTGTGTGTGTGTGTAGCGGATTCAGGTTGTGCGACATATTGCTACACATACTTCTGGAGCACCAAAAAGGTAGATAAAATTTCGCATGATGACCTATAATCCGGTACATAATCTTGTAAATATACCGGAAATAGAGCCATAAAACCATGGCGAGAGGCCCCGTGGTTCTTTCATGGCAGGAGGTGGTAATGACTGCGTCTCCTGTTTTCCGCGGTTTCCCTCTGTTTTGCGCTGGTTTCCTTCTGTTTCGCGCTGTTTTCCTCTGTTTTGCGCTATTTTGCGGTGTTTCGAGCTGTTTTGCGCTCTTTGCGGTGTTTCGCGCTGTATTCAGTAAGTAGTAAGACCCCACCGCAAGTACTTCTAGCTGGCCTGGCTCAACAATTTTTGCATATGTCATTCTTAACCCCCACCTGACTATGTCATCCGAAAATTACATTGCAGTGACGTAATACGGCTCGACAAAGTATACGAATGGTCGCGCAGACAATCATCCGAAATCGAGTTGGGCTATTTCTCTCGTTTTCTTATCGAAACAATACCAATAAGATGAAGATCGCTGACGTTAGTGACTGTTAGTTCATTATAGTCGGCACAGATGCCATTTCGGACAATTGTAGCTACTTTAGCAAGCTCTATGACGTGATTGTGACGGCACAGTGATGTAATTTTTGGGTGCCATACTCAGGTTGGGGTTAGGAATATTATACTAATAAAATCGTTATGTTACGCCCACTAGATGTACTTGAGGGCACATACTTCAGGAGACTCCAGTTTTCTGATTTCAAGATGTCCCGACATTCAGTTCAATAAAACAAACTCAATTTGTTCTTGAAATGGGGCGTCTGGCATTACGGCAGATGCCTCAGATCGTGTCATGCTTGTCTCAATAGTAATCTGAATCAATCATGATGTGTGTGGTGTGTCGGCCGTCACATAGCCAAAATTTCCGTTTTCTGCTGAAAACTCTCGTATTCTGCGGTAAAATTTGTTTCCTCTGGTAAATCGGATAATTTCATTTTCAAGGCATCCAATGGTGTCGTTTTCAGATGGCGCTCCCTTTTTGTTGCACAGTGCTGATTTTTGCCAGTATGGAGGCCCTGATTGTCTCATTAATCAGGGGTTTCCAATGTTAAAATTTATGTTTTTTAAGTAGGGGCTATTCTTGGAATCAGTGAACTGTGCTATACCGATATACATTTACACCAAGTCCATGCATTCAAAACTAATAATCTGGTTTACTATTCCCATATCTAACATAGACTGGTAGCATGTCAAGGGCCCATGTTCTGCCATATCATTAAAGCGTTCTTTCCGTCTTTCCTCCCCTGAAGATGAATTTGAAAACCTTCATCTTTTAACATGTTAGTGGTGACTTGCAACTGTTCTATCGCTATTCTACTGACTTTTAGCTCTGAACAAATTTGTTGATAAATAAATTCTTGTCCTAGATCTGCATCTACAAAGACAGACCAGCCTTTGAGTTCAGGTTCTGCGATGGCTTTGAAGACTTGGGAAATGCAAAACAGTATGGAAGTGAGCGCTTTTTTTTAATTACTATTAGGATAGGATTTACATATTTATCCTGGGGGAGAGGAAAGGCAATAAGACGGCTTAACTATATGGCGAACCACGGTACTTCACGAATGGCAAAATTGTTATACGTTATTTTAAAAATATTTTGTTGAATTGGTTATTGCAACCTGGTTTAATTCTTCAAAATCATTGTTTTGCCACCAACTTTCTAACAGCTGTGCTGAAAGTACTGTAAGATTATTTTAAATGCTTGTTCTAGGGTGATTGAAAGGTAACTCCCTATTTTAAAAAAACTATAGTTTATTTTTAAAATATAATTTCTACAATTAAGAATATGAGAAGGAAGTATAATGCATGGGCTTATTGAAAAGTAACTCCCTATTTTAAAAAAACTATAGTTTATTTTTAAAATATAATTTCTACAATTAATGAATATGAGAAGGAAGTATAATGCATGGGCTTTTATTTAAAATTCAATATGGGCGCCTTTATTTGCCACCAGCTTCTCAAGTCGACCAGGAATCGCATCAACTGATTTCGCAAGAAACTCTTGCGGGATGGAAGTCATAACTTCACGTATTCGCTTCATCACTCCATAGAATATTTTTAAAAAGGTTGGGCCAATCTCTAAACCAAGCCAACATTATTTCACCAAACTCCATACGAATGTCAAAGTCTTCTGCAGAGAGTGCTTGACAGTAATGCGGCTTCCAAGCACGCCATTTAAGCTCGTTTTTTAGCACATTACGTACACAATGAAAGGAGAGCCCACTTTCTCTTGTTGCTTGACGAATTGACTTATGTGGGCTACGGGTAAACATTTCTTTAACAACTTGCACTACCTCAGGATCTCTGGATTTGGAAGGACGACCGCTTCTTTGAGTATCAGCCACAGATCCTGTGGTCATAAGTTTTTTATGACAATTCTTGATCGTCTTCGGGTCAATTTGGGCATGTTTTCCCTTAATAGTTCTCCACCATCTTTGCACTTGAACAATGCATCCCCAAACTTCATAACGCGCGGCTATCTGGGCACGTTCCTGTAGAGTAAGACGTCCAGCCATTTTTGTAGGGTTTTGAAATAAAATAAATTTGAAAAGATTGAAATTGAACAATATTTAAACAAATCTGAAAGGAAAACAAGAACATAAATTAAATTGCCATATATTAAGTAATATATACACATAAATTTAGAAACATGAAACATGATATAGCATTTGAATAAATAAAACAAGCCAATGTTATTAATCAGTATTCAGTGACAAGATATCTAAGAGATTGCTTAAATTTCAGTTTTGATGTTGCTGTTGACATCTTGCGAATGAAGCAATGTTTTTTTTGATATAATTGAATACCTCCACTCTGGACGGGGTTCTGCACAAACAGTCAGTTATGTGTGAAAAACTACCATCATTTGGAACGACCGAAACCTTTCTCTGGCAGCTTTGTGTACCAATTTATTAACCCCCTGGGTGAGGTGATGCGCCGAGATTAAAGTTTAAAGATTTGGATTCCTGAATAAGGACCTTTATAATTTTCATATTTTTCTGTATTGGAATATTGCCTTCACTTTACACAAACAGCCAGAGATATGTGAAGAGCTACCATTATTTGGAAGAGCCGAAATCTTTGTTTCAGCTAGAATCAAGATTTCAATCTGCGAAGCTGTTCTAACACTTTAACTGGGCCACCAGAGCTGGCAACACTAAATAATTGAATAACATTTTCAGATTGTTCACTCAGTCGATGAAATCTACAAATACGAGCTGAAACAGCAGCAAGAGATGTTGAATGCGAAACCATGGACAAAGGATCCGCATTATTTTAAAACCAGTAAAATATCTGCACTGGCTTTACTGAAGATGGTCATGCATGCTAGGTCTGGCAAGAATTTGGAGGTAAGCCTACATTCGCTGTTCTTGTGGCTTCAATGACCAAGATGACGAGTTGAATTCAGATTTGGACACAGATTCTGGAGCAATGTTAAGTTAGACTATAAGTCATATGTGTATTCGACACGTTTAAATTCAAATATACGGTACTTAAGTTCATTGTATTACTGACAGGGAATTAATCTCAATTCATGCAAAATTATTACTTGGACAACAAACCATAGAGATACCAATAGCTATTGTAAAACACAAAAGTTATATCCCTTCCAAAGGACACTTCCATCCAAAGGCAAAGCCAAGAATGTTTACAAGGGGGGGGGGGGCTCTGAAAATTCATCATTGTCAAATTAAACCAGCTAGCGGGAAACGTGGGGTTCCAAGAGTCTTTTTTTTTTAAATGGGGGTTTTCGACCTTTAACCCAACCCCCCTGGCTACTCGCCCCTGATTACATCCTTTGTCACTGACGATTTGAAGGTCAAATGTTCTACTAGTTGATGACAAAAGCACTTTTTTTGGTCTTGACAACAGCAAATAGAATACCATCGATAAGAACAGTTCATGCTCCAATCTCATGTCTATAACATGTCCTTTTTACACTATTTAGGTTATGGGTCTGATGCTCGGAAAGATAGATGGCCCAAACATGCTTGTGATGGATTGTTTCGCACTTCCTGTTGAGGGCACAGAGACTCGGGTCAACGCACAAGCCGCTGCGTACGAATACATGACAGCCTATGTTGATAATGCTAAACAGGTTTGTAACTGTGCTGAACCTGCTATATTGGATTGAAAATTTGTGATCATGGTCAAAGTCAGCGTTTTTCAAGAGCTTTTTTCACCACCCACTTGGCATTGCCAAATTTCTTTGCGACTTCCGGGAAGGAACTAAAATAAACAAAAAAGTAAAATATAGGACCTCCTGAGGTATGTGCACCAAGATGGCGCACAACCTGAACTCTGGTTGTGTACCAGGTTAGGGTTCAGGTTATGCGACATCTTGGTGCGCATACTTCAGGAGTACCAAAATTTAATATTACACAAAATTTAAAAAGAATACTGAACTTGACAAATTGTTAATGAGACTGATGTGTCAGCATATTCTTGCACAAAAGATTGAATCCCCGCTCAATTTCCGCGATGGTGGGTCTTAGTACAGATTTCAAATCTTTTTAATTTGATCAATATTTTAACATAAGTTATTGTCGAAAAGAATGTGAGGCATTTAGGCATTTACTCATTATTAAGCTAACCGTCATTAAGCGGTTTGCGCCACTTTGAAGAGTCCTGGCCTGCAAAGTATCATGTTCGTGAGCAGACTTTTTAGTATTTTCCTTTCTGAGTTATGTTTTTGTGATATTGACGTTGTATCGTACATATTCTACGGCGTATCTCGCATGCATTACGTCTTGTGCCCCACTGGACATCTATGTTTAATACAATGAAATTATTCGACACTCCGTATTCTATGAAATATATACTTCACATTTTATTATTTCCTAAAAGAGATGAAAACTTGAAAACACTGTTAATAATAATTGTAATCTTATTTCACATTCTTTTTAGGTTGGCAGACTGGAGAACGTGATCGGTTGGTATCATAGCCATCCAGGTTATGGTTGCTGGCTCTCTGGTATTGATGTTGGTAAGTTTTATATGGTACCTATGGGTCGGTGTTGGAAGTCCTCAAACAGTCGATTGTGTTAATGACTTATATACTAGGAGTGCTTCATTTTTCATTTAGTATAGAATTACTGTTTTTTGGACACGTTTAGTGGCCATAACGATCGTTTCAAAATTTTGTTGTTATTGTTATTTGTCTCCGTCTCCATTTTTAAAAAATCGCTTTTCTCTTCGAATACTGGACCAATTGCTTTGATATTTTCAGTGGTTAAAGATAAAATTTTTCTCCAGAAGGCTATTACTTTTTTTTTTCGCTATGACGTCATCAAAATTATTGCCACTGGGTGGCGCTACGTGTCCATATATTTGAGCATAGCTCTCTTTTTCTGTTAAATACTCTGGAGGCCGAATCCTGCCTGCTTGTGCCTGCTGAAATATCGACTATAGTTTTTATGGATATAAATTTTCGTCGAAAATTTTAATGAAAAGAATGTCATAATGACCCCGATTGTTACATCATGCTGTTATAAAAAAAACTCCCACCCAGTAACCAATTCTATTATCTGTAATTGGCTCAGGAAGAGTAATTACCCCCCTGGTCTATTAGTATCAGTTTTCCAAGAAATATTCTCTAATCTCAAATTTTTTTTCCAGATACCCAGATGTTAAATCAACAATTCCAAGAACCATTTGTAGCGATAGTTATTGATCCAACACGGACTATCAGTGCTGGAAAAGTTAATATTGGAGCGTTCAGGACATACCCCAAGGTAAAATTTAAATTGTTTGGGCCATTTTTAATATGTCTCCTTGGAAGACGAGATCAAAACGTGAGATGTATCAATATTGTCAACACACAAAGGGCTCTTTGTGTTTATAATGGTATCTGCTTAAAAGCATAGGTATATGTAGCTGTTCAATATTGTCTGTTCTTAACCACCACGCCTAACCGCCCCATTTGAAGTGAAAAAATACCCCTACCGAGAGGTTGAATCAGCAATTCGAAGAATCGTTTGTAGCGATAGTAATTGACTCAACACTGGTGCTGCTGGTTATGAATTAGACTCGGAAGACGAGATCGTCAAAACGAGAAATGTATCAATATTGTCAATATAGGTGTTCATAATGGTATCTGCTTTAAAAGCATTGGTATATTTAGCTGTTCAATATTGTCTGTTCTGAACTGCCACCGCACATTTAAAGTGAAAAAATCCCTTTTTCCCATTTTTGAAATGTAAAAAAAAAAACTTTCTTCTGTATCTCACATAGCGATTTATTTGTAGCTTGAAATGTTTTTTAAAACCAAGACTTATTTAAAAACTCACATGCTAGCTGTCACGGTCCAACTGGGCAATTGGAAATTTTAGAACGCGGCCCTTTAAAAATACTTGGCTAAGCCCAAGGATGTTGCTACCAGTCCCTATGGCCAAGCTGATTTACATTTTTGTTTCAGGGTTACAAACCACCAGATGAAGGCCCTGATGAATATCAAACAATTCCTCTCAGTAAGATTGAAGATTTTGGAGTTCATTGCAGGTAATGCCATTTGTGTATTGTTTCCTCAGAACAAGGCTAGTTGAGTGTTGAATAGGGACGGGTCGAGATTTGAATTCTAGTCGAGTTAACACATATTCAGGCCTCATTCAATATTATTTTTTTGTACTTATCACATAGATTTACATATTTATTCAGGGGACAGTAAAGCCGATAAGACGGATTTATCATATGGCGAACCATGACCTCTCATCTGGTTACCAGTCCAGGTTGGTTATGGGATTAGTTGGCCAGTTATTTGTTTCATATGGACTTGATGGTGGAAGAAGCCGTAACCAACCAGTGGTTACGTGAACCACCCTGCTGCAGCGAGGAGTACAGCAATCCTCTGGCACATATTTAACTCCGCACAGGATTCGAACCTGCGAACCCACGCAGGGTGTTCAGAGGTTCAGTGACGAGCGTATTCCTAACGCTTAGCACGATGCACCGCCGAGCCACATCCACTATTTTTACTTATATAAAGCTCAGTGCAAAATTATGTCAAGATTTTCTGTTATCACGGTGGCGAGTCCGCAATGTTGAATCTAACAATGTTGCTGTCACAGAGTATAATAAATAACGTAGATTACAGTAAACCAGAAAGCTTGCAGCTATTGTGAGGAACTGACTCTGATAACTGTATGGTTGTATCGGTCCCCTTGTCTATATTAAAAAACTTCGCGTATCCTTTTTTTCATTATTGTTACAATGTTCGTTTTTCCAGTTGACAAAAAATAAATCTCTCTCTCGTCTAAAAATAGTAGGTGGATAATTATCAGTGGTTCTCGGGTCTTTATTGAAGCTTAGGTGTTGAAAAAACATAAAAAGCAATATCTATTCATTGGTAGACCTGTCTATCTGAAAGTCTGGTTTGGAGTAAAAAGCGTTTCAGCCCAAGTTATACCCTTTCTAAAGGACACTAACATCTTTAGTGATGATTTGAAAGCCGCTGTTTTATTGTTTGACGACAAAAGCATCTTTTGTCCTGACATCAGCGAATAGGGTATTACCAATGTTCAACTAATAGTTGTATAACCTTTTGCATTTAGGCAATACTACTCTCTCGAGATTACATATTTTAAATCGTCATTGGACAAAAGATTGCTGGAAAGTTTGTGGAATAAATACTGGGTTTCTACGCTGAGTAGCTCAAGTTTGATTACAGTGAGTTATTTTTTTTTAGATGAATATCATACCCAAAGACGTAGTCAGGAATTTTCAAATAGGGGTTTTGAAATTTCCAATTGCCCATTTAGGTCGTAACAGCTAGCGATGGCTTTGTGGAGTCTTGAGGGCCTGAGGAGTGTTTCAAAATTGATATGTATAATACAGAATGATGCTTGTTTTACATTTAAAAAGGGGGTTACAATCCTCTAACCCCACTCTCCCCCCTGGTTACACCCCACCCAGAGTGTAAAAATTCCGTTTTTTCAAGCTATAGTATTATACAGTGTCTCTAAAAAGTTCCGCTCGATGGATTTTATAGTAATTACAATTGTAAGCTTAAATAAATTTTATTGCATGATAAATGAGAACTTTTAATAAACAAAGACAAAGAAATTTTTAATTGTTATTGAAATCATTTTAACATGGTTACATCATGCGCACTTGCACAGAAGTGAACAATATTGAGTACAGCCATAGAGATATCCTTTAAATCTTTTTTTTTGTCACTTCATTTCACTTTTCATGTCCTGCATAGAGCGACTTATGTTTCAATGAATTTAATTCATGTCAACATCAAAAATCTATTAATAGTCTGCCTTGAATGGGCAATTTTTTTTAAGTTCTCAAATACTAGTTCATTTCGAGCTCTTTATTTCAACAAGATCTCCAAATTATAGGAAGTACATATCTGGCTGCTTCTGTTGAGCCTAGTTTGAGGTGAAAAATAGAAATTTATTTCATTTCGAGCTCTTTATTTCCTTTACAGAACAGGGAATACATGACTGGGCAAATCTTTGATTTATCGGAGAAGTTGGAACAGGCGGAAACGCAGTTGTCACGCTCCAGTAGTTCTATTTACTCTTTTGATACGCATGACCGAAGAACAGAAGATAAACTTGCAAAAGCTGCAAAAGACAGGTAATGGACAATGTTTCATAAAATCTATTGCAAATTTCATGGGTCGCTAAAAGTGAACTATCTGTTATTTGTGGCGCACTCTCAAATTGTTGAATTTTTTCGGTATTGGGGGGTGTTCGTCATTGAAAGATTCCTTTTTGGTAATTTTTCACTGCTTTTACACATTTTAGCAAGGTTTTTTCGGGGTTCGGGCCCTTAAAAGTTGAAAATGCAGGCAGTTACCATGTATAGTGATTTGATTGGATAAGTTTCTTAAATTTAACCATTCTAAAGTAAAAATTCCCTGAACTCAAGAATTTAACCCGGGCTGTGCAACATTTTTTGTCGGTGGGCCACATAACCAACTTCAGACAACTGGCCGGGCCACACAAAAAATTTAGCGGGAAAGGAAAGAGAATGCGACCTTGCATAGCCTTACAGAAATAAATACACTGGCCAATCAACGAATTTTTCAACGCAGCGACAAGAACAAAAAAAACATTGTATTTTTATTCATGCTAGCACCTTTTAAACATAAACCTCTTGGATCAAGATTTCATGCTTGATGGAAAAAACCTGAGTTCTGGCAAGGCCACACTGAATAGCTTGGCGCCCATGGTATTGGCCTGTAGGGCCGCCTGTTGCACACCCCTGGTTCAAAATATCGAGTGTACCTAATGTGGAATCAATTCAAATATTAAATTCGTTCTTGGACATCCATGAGGGATTTATTCAATAATTTTGTCAACCAAAATGAAATAGCAGTCATCATAATAATAAAATAATAACAATAAAATAATTTGGCATAGACAGGAGGGAGTGATACGACCAGGCCATGTGCATAACTTTTTTTCTGTTTTCAGCAAAAAATTAACTGTGGAAGCAATTCACGGACTGATGTCACAAGTAATAAAGCACCAATTGTTTAATCAACCGAAACCAACACTAGAGGCAGCAGAGACATGAAGCAGCAGTTTTTGAATCTTGTAATAATAACTCTGAGAGTTCGTATTATGGCCGCATCATGGTTCGGCTTGCGAGAGAGACCTCTCATACCAGAGCTCTATTTTATATTATATATTTCTACTTGGTACTCGCGTAGTATGTATACCAGGTTCGAGCTAGGGCATAATTTCATTCAGATTCCCCTTATTTTAGTTCCATTACGAGTTAGGGACTGTTTGTGTTAGCCAAGTGAATATACCCCCTGCCCATAGGTTTCAGTCCCTTTACACAACTTGATGTAAAGGTAGCGAACAAAACTAGTTACCTATATATTGGTACACACACTTCTGGAGCGTCTTCTATTTAATCCAAGCGATTTGAGATAGAGACGGGCTAACACAAGTAGTATTTGTATAACTTTTCTATGCTTTGTTGTGAAGTTCAATTTCCGTAAAGTAATAATTTACAATAATATTAAAGACTGTTTCCAATTTTGTCCAAGTACTGCCGTAAGAGCCGATAAAACCGTGTTTATGTGTACGTGACGTTGTATGTGTCCTGCAACATGTGTAGGAGTGCGGGGGAACAATTTCATAAACGATCTGAATAAAATCATGGAAAATGCTGCAACCGAAGGCTTAGCTTATGAATTTACACTATACAGGGAGTCCTCGACTTACGACGTTGTTCCGTTCTTGAGACGCGGTGTAACCCGAATTTCAGTGTTCCAGTGTAAGGCGGAACATTATACTGTACAGTACATAAATTACTCTATACATATCGTACTGTATTGTAAAGTATGGTGCAGTGCTAAAATTTACAAATAATGCACGATGTGTAAAAGTACGATGAAAATGACGAAAACCAATGGGCCCAAAGAGCTGATTTTCTTGATCACAATGATCCAGTTTAGGGCTTGGATATTACAGTACAAAATTATCTTTTATATTTTTACGGTGTGCGTTCGTAACCCCGAAACAGCGTAAGTCGCGACCTTCGTAACCCGAGGACTCCCTGTATCGCATTTGCGCGGGCTTGTTTGGGGGGATTTCTGAGATATATTTGGATTATCAATCTTTGGGTACTCCTGAAGTGTGCGCGCAACCTGAACCACAACCTGAGTTCAGGTTGTGCGCATACTTCAAGAGGTCCGATTTTTGTTATGCGAGTTTTCACAAAGCCTAAATCTCCCAATTTGCTGCTCCTGCAGTGTAATTAGCACTGAGAAAAAGTTGAGTGGAAGCGACCATCGAGCCAGTGTTTATGGGATATTGCAGGGCTGACCGTTTATGATCACGCAAACTGGTCAATTACTGGACATAAATCAGTTTCAATTTTCAGAACTTAAGAAACGATTGACGCTTTTACTTTTATCTTTTTTAAAGAAGACCTTCGGGCGCTTGTTTACCCAAAACTTTTGCTGTGTTGGTGAAGGGGAACACTTATTTTGTTCGTCACGCTGATCTATCGATGTTTTGCATGGACCTCTCGGTAAAGCAATGAAAATCGCACATGCTGAGGGCAGGGACAAGACCAAAGCCCTAAACAACTTTCTGACAAGATTTCGATCTACCCCTCGCGTTGCCACGGGGCAATCACCAGGAAACCTTATGTTCAGAGGTGGCTACCAACAAGATTTTCCCCGCAAAGTACTCACTCCACAAGAAGTTCAAGATGCGGAATCTCTGGACATACAGCAGAAACTGGAGCGTCAAAGTTCCATCAACATGCAATTCCATGCTGAGTGCGAAGCCTCGCCATACAATAACGTAGCCAGCCCAAAACTTAAAACAGTAATTTGGACTCGATACTTAGATTACCGGTGACTAGGGCTAGCATATCGAATAGTAAATTATTCGAATCGGTACAGACAAGAATTTCCTATCGTCGCCACCTTGTTTTTTCATCCGCCCACAAGTCGAACTGTCTAAGTCAGGGGTTCTCAACCTTTTTTCTTTCAAGTACCCCCCGAGTCACGAAACAATCACCGCGAACCCCCGGTAATCAGACACCGAACAGAGTTGTGATATATTGACTAACGATTTGTTGAAACAACAATTTATTGACCAAATGTAACTAAATCTTCGTGTTGATATTATTGCCCTTGTCCTCCGCCTAACTAATGAATTCTTAAAATCTCTCCCAAGTTTTATTAAGCATAGTCTCTTTCTCCAATGCCTGCAGCACACTGTCCTCTGAGATTACACAATTTGCCTGCAAAGCGTCACAATCACATCATCAGGGAAAATCTACGTTTCAGTTGGCATCTAATTTCAATCCACACGCATTTTCCTCTGGTAGTAATAAAAGATATTAAAAAACATCAACACGCAAAAACTCGACTGTCATCCAAGTACCCCTGGAAATCTTCTCGCGAACCCCAGGTTGAGAACCCCCTGGTCTAAGTGATAGATTAGTGTTTTCACTAATTTATGTATCTGAAGGATTCATCAGAGTGAAATAACCAATACAACTACATATCTTTCGAAGTCCGAACAAAATATTCGATTCTAAAATCTTCAGATATTCGAATATGCCCTGGCCTACCCCCGATTCGACTTTTTCCGGGGTTTAGAGAATCGTGCTCAAAAGTGTAATGTCACAATATTATAGGAAAGCGGTTCCCAAACTTTTTGTTCATGCCGCGCCAGATTATCAAAGAGGCAGACTCATGGCGCACTTACACGAAAAATGCTACTTTTAAAGAAATCTCAATTTCGTGATCGTTAATGTGTACTTTAGACCTTTCAAAGTTTAACTATTTCGCCGCGGCGCACCCTTTGGGAACCGCTGTTATAGTATAGTCATATTTTCGCAAATCTCACCTCCTATTCATTAGTACAATATATAATAGAAAATACGTCAAAAAACACAAAAAATCAATTCAAATTCTTAAAACGCGTCTTCTTCGGATAGAGATAGCGTATTTTTCAAACCAAATTCTTTTGGGCATCACAAATAACGGATATTTACCCATAAACGTTTTTAGCATATCGTCACGGGGAAGCGTTAAAACGTATTGGCTTCGTACAATAATTACCGGCTCAAAATATTTCCCTCCATTTTTAAAATGCGGTCATGCGGTGAGAAGCTTTTAGTTACGATTTATTTTGGGTGATATTGTTACTGGCTTGGGGATTGTTGCAGTTCTTGTCTGAGTGGTGGAGCGTTGTGGCTTTGCGTGGGAACTCGGAGATTTGCGCAGTGAAGTCAGTGGCGTGTTTAGAGGGGGGGGCCAGAGGGTCAGCCGCCCCGGTAAGCACGTTATAGGGGTGAGTCTGTTGCTCGATTTGAAGATTTAAATAATAATATTACAAACATTTCACCTTTAATTGACCTTTCATTTATCCTGTATAACAACATATATAATTTGTTTACTCCCCAAATTATTTTTTAAAGGTTTGTATAAAGGGCAGCGTTATTTTATGAATTATCAGCCCGGGCATCAGAAAAGTTTGACTGAGTGCAGTACTTTTCAATCGGTGTTCGCGACACTCTGGTGTTACGACTGTAAGTCCAGAAGTTGCGCAATTTTTCATTTAGAAGTTGATAAATGTACAGTCAAATACCTATTAGGTTTGGTAATATCATTAAAATCTTTTTACACTCTAAAGATCGTTTTGTTTTACCAGTATTAGATTTGCTTTTAATATATATCTATAATTTACACCAGTGGTGTGCAACCCTTTACAAGAGGGCGAGATAGAAATAATTACTGGGTGAAACCGCGGGCCGCACTTCAACATAGGCTTTCTAGTAATTGCAGACACAAAAATTTTGGTTGTTGATCTTGTGACAAGCGTTGTTTGCACAAGTTAGCTGTTAGGACATTGTAACGTCATTAGCATTGATAAATTGGATTCAAGTATAGGCTTCGCAACGCCATTAATTGGAATTACTCGCACGTACCAGATAAAATTAAAAACTCGTTTCGCGGGCCGCACAATTTTTCCTCGAGGGCCACATTTGGCCCATAGGTTGCACACCCCTGGTTTATACAATTCAGATAAGACAAGGATTCCTCGATGGAATGTTTCATTGGAGTTCAACTCCACCAATAAGGTTGTGACCCACTGGGTTAGTGTGGTAGGGTTTCATTTTCAGCCTTTTATTGCTCCGTTCCTAGACTTACTGATCATTCAACCATTCAGATCCGAAAGTTAATATATGTATAATCAAATACCTATTAGATTTGCCATTAATATTAAAATACTTTGGTGGATGAGAGTTTAAAGTTTTACCGCTCCACCGAAAAGGTTGTAACCCACTGGGTATGTGTGGTAAGGTTTTATTTTCAACCTTTTATTGCTCCACCGCAAATATTTTGCAATTTTTTGAAGATATTTTTTTTTAATCACGACTTTCGATCTTTTCTCTTGGACCATCGATTTATTAATGAGCTCTATGGACACTGCCCCTTTGCACTTGTAGTGCAATCTGCATTATTTATCAAAGAATAGGAGTAATACTGCAAGCAAATGCAAACAAAAGTAAAAGTTTGAAACTGGAAAACGTAGCATCAGGGCAGATCTCGGCCAACTGTTTAATATTTAATGTATCATTAGCTAGCTACACTTTGGCTTTTATTTAAATAGTTGGAATGTAATGTATACGTACGTAACTATGTATTACAATGAAAGTTAAAATAAAATACATGGAAAAACATGTTTTTGTGGTGGACATGCTGTATTTATATATTTACGGGACGATTACTTTGGGCGAATTTTGCCCAGAACAAGACCATAGACAAGCTACTCATGTTAGACGATGGAAGGACCGGCATCATCGACATTGTCTACACCAGCGGTTCCTAACTGGGGGTTCTCCCCCTCCAAGGGGGCCATATAGCAGTTGAAAAGAGGGTCATAAGGCTGAGCGCCTTATTTTCTTTTTTCCTTACAGGAAACTTATCATTCTGCCCAGTTTCATTTGTTGATCATGTTGTTTCACAATGGGTTTTCACTTTGTTGAGCTGAAATTGATTGAGCATAATGGGATCTATCAATCGAAATAACACTATAACTAGAATATCGGTTAGAAACCGAAGACATATCGATCGAAGGTTAGGGGATCCCCCAAAACAGTGGTCTTACTCCATAGTGACTCCGTGTGTCCCATCACTATTTAATTAATAACTCGATAATTATAAGACATAATCCATCCAAAATCACTAGGCTTCTG